GGCGCGTGAGTGCGGGCCCCGCGCCCAGCGGACGGCGGGAGGCAGCGGCCGTAGCGACACCGGTGCACAGGCGGGCGCGGCGGGCCGCCGGCCAGCGCGGGACAACACCAGGATGGCGCAAGCGCTGCAGATGTACGGTAGGTTTGCGTCGTGTCGACCAGCGGCGACCCCAGCGCGGGCGTTCAACTTTGAACGCCGCGGGCGACCCAGAATCGTTCGATGTGGAACGATTGGACGTTTCGCAAACGGCCGATCGTTCAAGGTTGAACGATCCCCGCGGTGTCAGAAACCAACGCCGAAGTCGGCACGACACGAACCTGCCGTAGGGATGTGGCTCCCGTTGCCCGGATGGGCAGGTCGGAGCTGTGTGGGGCGCGGTGCACAGCGAACGCAGCTGCCTCGACGAGGCCAAAATCGCCAGGGGCCTGGCGCCCAAACCCGATGAGGGGCGAGAGCGCCGGGGGAACCCGTGGGAGAAGAGAGGGGCGCCCGCCACAGCCGCCCTGCCCAGGGGAGCAAGGTACGTAGGACGGGGGCACACACCGAACAGGTGCAGTCACCAGTGGGGGTCGAGCGAGGCGATCCCAGCACAGCGGCAGAGGGGGGCCTCCGGTGGTGGGGCCTCGTCGGTCTGGTCGCTCGCGAGGGAGGGGGCGCGGGGGACTGCCGTGGGCAAAATTGGCGCCACTCCTGCTCGCAGTGCGGGGGTACAGAGGGTGCGGTGGCTAGGCCGCGCAATGGGCGGCCGGCAGGGGGGGAGGGGAGAGGTGGCGGCTCAGTGCAGGAGCCCAAAGGCTGACGCAGCGGTGGGGGCCGGCCTGGTCGTACGGGACAGAGTGGCACACACGCACGCACGCACACACGCGCACACGCACACACATATACACTCGCACACGCGCACACACGCACTTGCACACGCACACGCGCACGCGCACACGCGAAGGTACACGCAAGCGCACACGTACGCACGCACACGCACGTACACGCGCGCGCGCGCGCATTTGCACACGCACGCTCACACGCACACGCGCACGCGCACGCGCACGCGCACGCACACGCACACGCAACGCGCACGCGCACGTGCACGAGCAGTCGTTCACGCAGAGCGCACGCGCACACGCATACGCACACGCCCACGCACACGCACACACACACACACACACACACACACACGCGCACACGCACACGCACACACCCACACGCACACCTAGATCCACACCCAGACCCACGCACGCACACGCACACGCACACACACACACCACACAACACACAACACACAACACAACACAAGACACACACACACACTCGCTCGCTCACTCACTCTTTCACTCACAACACATGCCACACCAAACCACACCACACCACACCACAACACAACACACCGCAGTACAACATAACACAACACAGCAAGCCACACCACAACACAACCCACCACAACAAAACCCACCACAAAATAACATATCACAACGCAACACAACTCAACACAATACAAGCAGCACAACGCACCACAGCACAACACAACATACCATACCACACCACAACACCCCACAACACAACACAACACGATACAACACAACACAACACAACACGACACAACACCACACCACTCCACAACACAGCACAACACAATACAGCACAACCACAAAAACAACACAGCACGGCACGGCACGGCACAGCACAATACAGCACAATACAACACAACACACCACAATTCAACACACCACACCACAGCACAACAACACAACACAACACATCACATCACAGCACAAAGCACAGCTGCACACCACAACTCAACACAGCACAATAAAACACAACACAACACAACACAACACACACAACACACACACAACACACAGAGAGACACCCAAACACGCAGACGCACGCGCACTCGCACACGCAACGCGCACTCGCACGCACACACACGCACACACACACACACACGCACACGCACACACACACACACACACACGCACGCACACACGCACGCACACAGAGGCGCATACACACACACACACACTAAGCTTCCCGAGGTCTTCATTTTCTCGCTGAGCGCACTGTTCACGCTCGTGATCGGCAAGCTGATCATCCGAGACATCTGGGGGGCCATCAGCGTTTTCTTTGTCGTGCTCATGGGCCTCTTCGTGCTCTCCGGGGAGTTTGGAGAGGAAATAATTCTGTACACAAGCATGCACTTTTGGAGCTCCGTGCTGCTTCGTTTGATCAGCTCTGGGACCCCTCCCTGGCGCGTGGAGTGCGCCAGGGGCGGCGCCGAAGGCGCCGCTGGGACGGCCCAGCGCCGATCCAGGAAACCCGCGCGGAACTCCGAAATTTTGAGTTTATGCGTTTCTGCTGTTGTGCGGCGGCGAGCCCAAGGGGGAAGTGAGAGGGATCAGGCCTGCTCAGAGGGTGGCGGGCTGTTCAGAAGCCCCCGCGCCTTCAGATCATTTTCGTTAGGTTTTTTTTCAGCGTCTTCGGAGAAGGCTTGGAAGGCTCCTCGGCAGGCCTGTGGGCGTCCGAGAGGCCCCGCCGCCGTCCGAGAGGAGGCCCGGCACCTCGCGTTCTGCCCTCCTGGGCTCGCCGCCGCGCGAGCGACGGGATGTAACGGGGCCGTCTGCGCCGACGTTTGCGCGTAAGCTGCCCGCGTTTGGTGGGATCTCATTGGGGGCCTCTCGATGGGCCTTCTGGAGGCCGTCTTGCCGCATCACGGGGGCCGTGTTGGGGCCTCCTGGGGCCGCTTGGGGCCTCCTTTCTGGGCTTTTGGGAAGCCTCTTGGGGCCTCTCGGGGGCCTCTAGGGGTGGAAGGCTGGGATTTGCGAGGCACCGCGCAAGGTCGCTGTGCCATCTCGCGTACGACCCGTTCTTGATCGTCGCTCAAGCTGTTCTTCCTTCGGTAGTAAATCATGTGAGCCTGGTGTACCCTCTTCATTCCATCCTTAGCGTCGATTCGCGTCGGTTAGCGTTTGGGAGTCGATGAGATGTGCCGATTTAGCGTCGGTTAGCGTCGATCAGCGTCGATTTAGCGTCGACGTAGCTTCGATTGGCGTCGACTGGCGCCGATGAGCGTCGACCTCGCAAGAGCTGGATGGTATGGGAGGCTCCCATGAGTTGCCGCCGACTCTTCCCCCTCCAGGAGTACAGGGTCAATGCGTCGAGCGCCTGCTTCTTCTCGGTCCTGCGCCGCAGCGGCCCGGTCAGCGGCGATCGCCAGCGGGGCTGCGGGGGTGCTTTTTTTCGGGCGAGCGCCGCCGTGCTTCGGGTGGCGTCCCCAAGCCAAGAATCAGTGGGCATCCTGGGGTCTCAGGGATGGGTTCCTTGCGGAAGGTTTCTTGTGGTCGAGTACTGGCAGGTGTGAGTGGCCTCAGGGGCAAGGGGCCCCCGACGTCCCCCTGGGGTCGGGGGGCCCGCTGGGCCACTTCTTCTGGCAGGGCCTTTTGTCGCCTTGCGGTTTTGGTTTTTGGGGCGGGTCTGCGGGCCAGCGCGCGGGCAAGCCGAGTCCTTGCGGGATTATGACAGCTCCCGTGTGGGCGGGGCCCGTCTTGGCCCTGTGGGGCTGCCGCTCAGGGGGGCTTCGGGGGACTTGCCCTTGGGGTCCGAGCGGCGCGCGGTCGGCGCGGGCGCGCCCGCGAACTCGGCGGTCTTCGCCGTGCAAGCACCCGTCGTGGCGAGCGGGGGGACTCCCCGAGTAGTCCGTCTCAGTCTCAGCCTCCTGTAGAGGATGAGGAGGAGGAGGAGGAGGCGGAGGAGGAGGCGGAGGAGCAGGAGGAGGAGGAGGAGGAGGAGGAGGAGGGGGAGGAGGAGGAGGAGGAGGAGGAGGAGGAGCGGGAAAATAGGGCCAAGGGGCATCAGGGGGGGAGGGATCTCTAGGCCTCCTAGATGGGGTCCGAGTAGATGGGATCGGATGATCGCGCGTCGCCGATGCATCTGCGATGCGGCTCGATGTGGAGCCCGTGTTTCCCCACGCCGACGTTGCCGATGCATCGCCGATCCATCGGCGATGCACTGGCGATGCGGCGCGATCCTTTGACCCCATCTACTCGGACCCCATCATGGAGGCCTCTAGAATACACATTGGCAATAGCCGTCGATTCTCATGAACGTGTGAAAGGTACGGGAAGTGTGGGGGAGAATCCGATCCTCCAGAACATGTGGGGATTTGTGTCTATCTCCTTATGTATCCCTGGGCCCCTTCAGGTAATTGCATCGACCCCCAATCGCCCATTGATCGCCAATATGTGTCTGATAGACCCACCCCGCTCAAGTTCGTGAGGATTCGCAATCGGGGGCCTGGCGCCGATCTATCGGCGATGTATCGCCCATTCCAGCTCGATATTCCCCCCCCCCCCCCCTGCGCCAGCCCCCCCCTGACGTTGCCCCTCAGCCACCCTCCTCCCTGCGGGGGGGAAAGGCAGGCGAGCTCTGTTCGGCCGTGCGGAGGGCGGCACTGAGCGCCGGGCGCCTCCCTCGCCCCCTCGAGCATCCCCACGGCCGCCCACGATCCGATTCGATGCGATCCCGATTCGCTGGCTGGGGCCGCGATTCCGATCCCGATTCGATGCGATTCGGGGCAAGTCGCCGGCGTGGGCTGCGGCCAGCCAGAGTTGGGCGCGGAGATATCCGTTGTCAATCCGATGCGGGCTGGTTCGCCGGCCGTTCCCGATCCGTGCCCGAGCTGGTCCGATTTCGCGATTCGATCGGGCTCAGGCTGAGGTCGGGCGTGTCCCCCTACAGGCCGATTTTGGACGAAGAATGAAACAACTACCCGAAAACTGCCCCCCAAATGCTCCAAGATAGCCCAGACATCGTCCCCAGACATTTTCTTTTGACTATTTTTTGAAATCTTCCTCCTGCGGAGGGACAGGCCCGCCTTTAGGCTCGGGCCTGACCCTCCCCCTGCGGCCCTGAGCCTCCATTCCACGGCTGTGCTCGGCGGCCCCAAAGCGGCATGTGCAGAGCATGCTTTTCGGAGGTGCGCGCGCGGGCCCCGTGGGTCGGCGCGCGGGCCCCGTGGATCGGCGCGCGGGCCCCGTCCCTGGCGGCGCCTGCTGGCGTGCTCCGCGCGCCGGGGAGGAGGGGCTCTCGGCGCAGGTCCGAGCGAGGGCCGCGCGGACCTCCGAACGGTTATATACGTTCATGCCGCTCCGTGCTGTCCCACATCGCCCGATCACGAGCTTCTTCCTGCCTCCATCCTTCCAGCCGCTTGCCATCCGTGCTCCGTCCTCCAAGGATTTCATCCTCCGCCCTCTGGCTTCCACTTTCCACCATGCGTTTTTCGCTTTCCATCTTCCATGTGTCATCCCTCATCTTCCGTCCTACATTTTCATCACCATTCTGCGTTCTCCATCCTCCTCCTTCATCCCTCATCCCTCATCCCTCCTCTATCCAATTCATGACCGTTTGCGGCACGCGCGGGGCTTTCCTGCCAGGTTTACGGCTTCCCTGTCGGAGCTTCCATGCTCTGTCTTGCTGCTCCCCCGCCCTCCTGCTTTCCCCTTGCATTGTAGTCCTCCCCTTCCTCTTTCCCCGACCCCGTCCCTCTCGTCTCCACGTATCTCGAGGGCCTGCGCGATCGGCATCGGTGTTGACTGTCTTGGGCTGGACACGGGGGGTCGCGACAGCCGTCTTTGGCCATGACGGAACTCGGAGGCTGGTTCTCAGCTGTTGCGTCATCACGGGACGTCCGAGTAGGGCGTCGGCATGGCGTGGCTGTCGCAAGCGGGCCATGTGTCGCTGTCACGGCAGGGTCGCTGCATTGGAAGATGCACAGGCCCATCAGCTGTGAGCGAGCTTCCAGCTGAGCGCACGCCTCGGCCCACGATGTGCGGCACCCTTCTTGGACGCCACCGGCGGGGGGGAGGAAGGGGGAGAGGAAGAAGATGCTGCGGTAGCCTGGGTACGCGACATGCGTCTGGCGGCTCGGAGTGGCAGGGGGGGCAGGGGGAGGCCGAGGGGAAGATCCCGAGGATACCAGGAGGAGGATGAATAGGAGAAGGAGGAGGAGGAGGAGGAGGAGGAGCATGCGGAGGAGGAACTTGAAGAGGAGGGGGATGAGGAACAGGAGGAGGGAGGATGTCGACGCGGAAGGTGAGGTGGAGGCGCACGACGGGTGTGGATGGAGGAGGAGGAGGAGGAGGAGGAGGAGGAGGAGGAGGAGGAGGATTTCCAGGATTTCCGCCATCACGTAGTGATAACTGCTTAAAACACAACACTGCCAGGGCATGTGCAGTGACCTCAAACGGCCTAGGAGGGGAGTGGGACTCAGAGTTGCACGCACGCGTCCTACGCTACGCCTCCAGGACCGACCCCCCAGGAGGAGGAGGAGGAGGAGGATAGGGAGGAGGAGCAGGGAGGAGGAGCAGGGAGGAGGAGCAGGAGGAGGATCCGCGGAGCAGGCGTGGCGCGTGGCGGCGCGGCCGTCCTTGTCGGGGCACGCCGCAGAGCTCCCCGTCCCCTTTCCCACGGGGCCGTCGCCGTGACCCTCCCCCCCTCGCTCGGAAGGCAGGGCTCGTTTCGATTCCTCCGATTCGATTCGATTCGATTTCGATGGCTTCCGATTCTGACTCGATTCGACTTGGGATTCCGATCTGGGTTCCGATTCCTTATTGGAGGCATACTAGCCTGCAGATTTCCGCCAATCCGACTTTTCCCGACTCGGCTGCCGTTTTCCGCCGATCCGATTCATGTCGATCGCCGATCCGACTTATCGATTCGATTATGGGCTCTCCTGGGAAGGAGAAGTGACACCGACACCACCAGGGGGGGCAACCTCCGGCGAGTAGGTCCACGATGCCTCCCCGAGCTGGAGGCTGGGGAGCCGTCTCGAGCGAGAGGGGGGGGGGCACATCACCAGGGAGACCCCTCTCGCTCCTCGCATCTCCTCGCCCCGGTGGTGTCGGTGTCGCCTTTCATTCCTCCTACTCCCCCGCTATTTCTCGTCCTTTTGGAGCCAGCTGGGGGTCTGAGTTGGCTCGGAACCAGTTTCGGCCAGCAGGAATCGAAGACGAAAGACATGGCATACACATACTTATACGACCACCCTTCGTGTGATAAGGAGGTTGTGGGGTATCGATCTCACTATCGACCGTCTCAGTATCGATCTCACTATCGATCTCACCATCGATCTCACTATCGATCTCACCATCGATCTCACTATGGATCTCACTCAACGGGACACCACGGGACACCACGGGACACAGCGGGACACCGCGAGCCACCGCTGGACGGGCGGGCGGGGGATAATTTTTGTCTTGACTTCGCCCTAGCAACGGCGGACACCACGGGACACCACGGGACACTGTGGGCCACCGCTGGACGGGCGGGAGGGGGAAAATCATTTGTCTTGACTTCGCCCTAGCAAGGGCTTTCCCGGCTGGGGGTCTCCGTTCCACTGCGATCTCACCCTCCAACCTCCGAACCTCTTGGCGCTCCGTGCGGATTTCTTTGATCTGCGCTGGAACGCCCTGGTGGTGCCTCCAGCGCCGCCCCTCGCGCGCTTCGCGCGTTAGGGAGGGGGGTCCAGATCAGATCCAAAAAATCCACGCGGACCGTCAACATCTGTATGTCGTTTTTTGATCCCCTGGGGAAGGGGGGTGGCATGTCCGAGGTTCTGGGTTCGGGAAGGTGCTCTGTGCCTTTTTCCTTTTGCCGGAGGCCGCTTTCTGGCCCGGGGACCGTGAAAGCACATCCGTGGTGAAGAATTGCGCTGCAGTGATCCCAGGAGGTAACCAGGGACCGGTTTTGAGCGGATTCGGCTTCACTTCTCGGTCGGGTGCTAATGGGGGGCGACTTCAATGGAGGGTGAAGTGCCCCGTTTAGGGCTCCGAAAGGGGCCCTTAATTTTTCCTTTTGGGGCCAGCAGGGGCCCAAACGTTGCCCTAAAGGGCCCCTTCAAGGTCCTCTATCCCCCCACCACAACCCGCCCGAACTTCTCCTCCTGACCGATGCTCTGGGGTCCCAGCCAGTTCAGTCCCCCCGACCGCCTCCTCCAACTCGCCCTTGCCCTTCCCCCTCCCTCGTCGTCGTCGTCGTCGTCCTCGTTGTCGTCGTCGTCGTTGTCGTCGTCGTCGACCGAGGGCTTGGTTTCGGTCGTGGTCGTCGCTTGGTGGTGGTGGTCGTGGTCACGGCTTGGCCGCAGCATGGTGGTGTTGGTGGCGGTGGTCGTCGTCATCGTCATCTACCGAGGTGGTCGCGATGATATCGGCCGTCTTCGACGTGGTTTCTTGCGTCTCCTACTTCCAGGCGCGCTCTTCTGGGACAATTCAGAACTCTTCGGCGGCTCGATTCGTTTATTCAATTGTTGTTTCGCCTTTCAGGCGTCCAGGGGCAGTTTCTGGGAACCGAGGCAGCGTCAACAAACGGCCCTGGGTGAAAAACCGGTCCCGAACAGGGGAACGAGAGGCTCACTTTCCGCCAGCGTGTGCCCACATCCACCGCATGCGGGGTTGAGCCCCAGGACGTCCAGGATCTCTTGAGAGCAGTCGAATGTTCGCCTAACTGTAAGAGTGACCCTTCGCCCGAGAGACCTTTGCTGCGCGGCTTTCGGTGATCGCGCGGTGGCCGAACCCACTCGAGCAGGCCGTCACGGCTGCGTCGCACGCACTGATCGGCAGGCCGCACACCGGAGGGTCTCGCTTGCCTAGGGTCACTCGAGCGTGTTGCCGAGATGTGATTCACCGTTCCCCATGGTTCCCCCTCCTTCTCCTCCTCTCCTGGGGGTTGGGAGGCTGCCCAACCGCAGACGATATGCTTGCCCGAGCTGGAGATCAGAGTTAGCCGGGGCCTGGCTAGGACTCCCAAGGAGTGTCGATGCTGTCACCGAAGCACGCTTGGAGACCTGGGTTCTTTTCCAACCCATCTTGTGGTGCTGGGTCCTCGTTTTGAAGAGGCAAGCCCCGCGTCACTCCTCCTCCCGCTGTCCCCCCCCCTCCTCCCGCTCAGTCCGCATGGCGGCGCCGCCCCATTTTGGCACACCCCTCACACGTTTCGTGGCCCCGTAGGGAGCTCCACCGAAGGTTCCAGCGGCAGGGTTCGCATGAAGTTCCACCCTCATTTCGGCGCACCCCTCACACGGTTCGTGGCCCCTTGGGGGGCCTCCATCGAAGGCCCCAGCAGCAGGATTTGCATTCGTTCCACCCTCATCTCGGCGCACCCCTCACACGGTTCGTGGCCCCATAGGGAGTTCCACCGAATGCCTCAGTGGCACGGTTCGCATGCAATTCCACCTTCATTTCGGCGCACCCCTCACACGATTCGTGGCCCCATAATGAGCTCCACCGAAGACCCCAGCGGCAGGATTCGCATGCAGTTCCACCCTCGTTTCGGCGCACCCCTCACACGGTTCGTCGCACCATGGGGGGCTCCACCGAAGGCCCCAGTGGCAGGGTTCGCATCCCTGATCTCGGCGCACCCCTCACACGGTTCGTGGCCCGATGGGGGGCCTCCACCGAATGTTTCAGTGGCAGGGTTCGCATGCAGTTCCACCTTCATTTCGGCGCACCCCTCACAGCGGCAGTGTTCGCATGAAGTTCCATCTTCATTTCGGCGCACCCCTCACACGGTTCGTGGCCCCATAGGGAGCTCTACCGAAGTCCACAGCGGCAGGGTTCGCATGGCACCACCGCCCCCAGTTCGGTGCCCCTCTCACACGGTTCGTGGCCCCATAAGGAGTTCCACCGAAGGCCCCATCCGCAGGGTTCGCATGCAGTTCCACCCTGATCTCGGCGCACCCCTCACACGGTTCGTGGCCCCATAGGGAGCTTCATCGAAGCCAGTGGACTACCGCACCCAATTCGGTACACCCCCTCGCACGTCTCGTTGCCCCAGAGGGTACTCCATCGAAGACTCCAGTGGAAGGGTTCGCATGGCACCACCGCGCCCAATTCGGCACGCCCCTCACACGGGTCGTGGCCCCAGAAGGAGCTCTACCGAAAGCGGTACCCACAATGCGGTACTCACAGCTGCGTATGGTTGGGTCTTTCGTCAGGCTAATTTTTGTTCCACCCAT